GAGCGGCGGCGCGTGTGGGACGGTAACGCGGCCAAGATCAACGGCATCACCAGCTGGAAGCGCACCGGCCAGGAGGTGCAGAAGCGCTGGAACGACTTCAAGCGCCGCACCAAGGAGAAGCTGGCCCGCGTGCCGCACTCCACGCAGGGCGCTGGGGCCACCGCCGAGGACGCCTTCTCTGCCGAGGAGGAGACCATTTTTGCCATCCTCGGGCCGGGTGTGGTGGGGCCAGGCGCTGGTGCAGGGGCGGAGCAGCCCCCAGCGGCGCCCCCCTCACAGCCACTGGCCCCAAGTGCCTACACCCAACGCTATGTGTTGTCCGAGGACCGCAGGGAAGACCGAGGGGCAGGTGAGTTCCTTAAGCATCACGGTAGCAAGAGTCTGCTGTGTGCCTGGCACTGGTCCAAGCCCTCTAGGTGGCTCATCAGCTTCTCACTACAACCCTGCTAGGGGGATGCTGTCATTATCCCAATTTTAAACCTGGGGAAACTGAGGCTCAGAAAAGTGAAATGATTTGCCTCGGGTTCCACCGCTAGTGACTGTCAGAGTCCGGAACCAGAACCCAGACCTAGGAGGCCTGGCCCCAAAGTCCACACCCAGAGTCATCAGCTCAGGCATCATTTCTTTTCTTCTTTTTTTTTAATTTTGTGATCGAATCTTTTTAAAAATATATTTTTATTGATTTCAGAGAGGAAGGGAGAGGGAGAGAGTTAGAAACATCAGTGATGAGAGAGAATCATTGATTGGCTGCCTCCTGGGGATCGAGCCCACAGCTCCTGCCCTTGACCGAATCCAACCAGGGACCCTTTGGTCCGCGGGCCAATGCTCTATCCACTGAGCCAACCAGCTAGGGCCAGGCATCATTTCAATTAAACGTCTTGTAGGGCAGTGACTCTGGAGGCAGACTGGGCTCCAATCACAACTTTGCCACTCAGCTCTGTCATTTCGGGTAAGTTACTGCAGATCAGTTTCTGCATCTGTAAAATGGGGATAAAAAGTAGTTGCTACCCAAAGGTTGCTAAAGATTAAGTGAATTAATATGCATAAATTGCTTACAACATGGCCTCTTGAACATTCATTATTAGCTTCTGATATAACTGCCAATGCTGTGAGGTACGGACTGCTTCACTATTTTATAAGTCAAAGTCTCACCGAGGTTTGGTAACCCCCAAGGTCATGCCGAATCGAGGAGATGTAGAGAGCTGAGTACACGATTTTCCACTTAGCCTTGAGTCTAGGTTATTATTTCTTATATAGCTATTCCTCAGGCACTGTCCTATGGTGGGTGGTGTTGGGGACACACTGAAGGTCAGACTTTGGACTTCATCTTGAGGGCATTTGGGAGTCTTTTTTTAAATTTTATTTATTGATTTTGAGAGAGAGAGAGAGATTGATTTGTTGTTCCACTTATTTATGAATTCATTCATTAATTCTTGTATGTGCCCTGACCAGGGTTTGAACCGACAACCTTGGTGTATCAAGATGGTGCTCTAACCAATTGAGCTATCTGGCCAGGGCCAGCATTTGGGAGTCTTAAGCAAGAAAGAAACACAATAATCTGGACCTTTGTTCTTAGTGTGAACCAAACCTCAGCGTTTCTATCTGTGACTGAGGAATCCTCAGCCCTGCCCTCCTGGGGCTCATAGTCCAGTGGGGAAGACAGACTCATAGACAGTGATGACTCCCAGCTGACCTACCCTGGGAAGTCAAGGAGGGCTTCCTGGAGGAGGAGAAATCAGAGCTGAGACATAAAGTGAGGATGAAGCGCTAGGAAAGTGTTCCTGGTAGAAGGAACAGCATGTACAGTGGCTTGGAAGCAAGAAAGCTTGACCAGTTTAGAAAATTGAAGTCTCCCAGTTGGAGAGGGGAGCAGGAGAGTGGAAAGATTGAAGAAAGGAAATGTTTTGAGATGAGGTTTGAGAGGTCAGCAAAGACCAGACCCTGCAGGGCCTTTAGGCTGGATTGAGGAGTTCGAATATTATCCTGAAGTGCTTTGGGAAGCCACGGAAGGGTTTTGAGGAAGGGAGGGACATGATCAAACAAAGCAGTTCAGGATCTGTGATTCAAAGAGATTCCTTCACCTACCCAAGGTCACACAGCAAGTAAGTAGTAGAGGTAAATCTGGAATACACGTGTGTCCAGCTCACAGTCCATGCACTTAGCAATTGGGCTAGATTGCCTGGCAATAACAACAATTAGTGTGACGGAAAGTTAATGAGGATGCCAGAATTGGGTCACACATGGCTTACAAGTGAAGGCCAGGCTTTGGGTTTTATCTTTTTTTCTTTTTTCTTTTTTTTAATATATTTCTTTATTGATTTCAGAGAGGAAGGAAGAGGAAGAGATAGAAACATCAATGATAAAAGAGAATCATTGATTGGCTGCCTCCTGCACTGGGGATCGAGCCCGAAACCCAGGCGTGTGCCCTTGGCCGGAATCAAACCTCGGACCCTTCAGTCCGCAGGCCGATGCTCTATCCACTGAGCCAAACCGGCTAGGGGGTGGACTTTATCTTGAGGGCATTTAGAAGTCATAAAAGTGTCGAGCAGGAGAGAGACACAGTCACTTGGGACTCTTATTCTCAGTGTGAATGAAAACTCAGTGTTTCCATCTGTGAAATGGCCCCGTTGAACTGGAGCAGACACGGTAAACTTATTTTTTCAAAACCTATGCAGCCCCTTCATTCATTCATTCAACAAATGTTTATTGAGTACCTTTCTGAGGCAGGCACTGTTGTAGATGCGGGGAATACTGTGCAGAAAGGCAGTTTCCCTTCTCTTATGAAGCTGACGTTCTAATTATGGGAGACAGACCACAAACAATCCAACATGGATCATATATAGGAGGTTATAAAAACTTAAAAAAAAAAAACAAAAAAAGGCATTAAGCCCTAACTGGTTTGGCTCAGTGGATAGAGCGTCAGCCTGCAGACTGAAAGGTCCCAGGTTCGATTCCAGTCAAGGGCGTGTACCTGGGTTGCGGGCACATCCCCAGTAGGAGATGTGCAGGAGGCAGCTGATCGATGGTTCTCTCTCATCAATGTTTCTAACTCTCTATCCCTCTCCCTTCCTCTCTGTAAAAAAATCAATAAAATATATATATTTTTTAAAAGGCATTAAGAGGATAGTGAGTGATGGAAGGAGGGCTGCTTTAGACAGGGTAGGAAGGGTCAGCTTCTCTGAGGAGGTAAACCTTGAACAGTAACCTGCATAGAGAGATTGAGCCAAGTGGATGAATAGCTGAGGACAGCACTCCATCCAGCTAGAGGGAACAGCACGTGCAAGGCCCTGAGGCAGGAATGTGCAGGAAGGTGCTTAAAGCTCCTTGATTACAATAGTACACAGAAGACCCACAGTGTAAAACTCAAAAGAGGAACTGAAGGACTGAAACAGCCTGGGGCTGCCTGAGGTGTCTTTATTGACACTGAGAGAGAATTAGGACCATTTCTCTCTGACCTAATGTTTGAAAAAACAGTAACAACATGGAGAATTCACTGTGTGTCAGGCACTTAAGCATGTGCCAGAGGTGAGTCAGTGACTCCTAGGAATGGCCCTCAGGAAGATGATCTGTTACTGGGGCCCTTGGTCCCAGGCACTCACACACATCCAGTTACAGGTAGGGACACTGAGGCTCAACGTTGGCAAATAGGATTTTAACTCTGGTGTGATGGTGCCTCCATGAGCCCTGTGGGTGTGGGGAGTGGGCCACTTTCTGTGCCTCGTAGTCAGTAGACGAAAAGCCGTATTTTCAAGTGGCTGCAGTTCTCATGTCCTTCTGAGTGAGACTTGCCACCCTCAGGCCCACAGCCGCTGCCCAGGGAGTGGATAAAAGTGTGGGCTCTGGAACCTTCCTGGGTTCCACTCCCTCTTCCACCATTCGCCAGATCTGTGACCTCTCTGGGCCTCAGTCGCCTTATCTGTAAGATGGGATGATACTGATAGCACCTATCCCAGAGAATGGCTGGGAGGACTCTGAAATAGCGCAGGAGGACAGGGCCTGGCCAGGAGACAAAAGGACAGGGATGGGAGCTATTTAAGAGGGACGATATCAAGGAATGTCTTCCCAAGGAGGCCACCTTTGAGCGGAGGCCTGAGGAGGGGAGGGAGGGGGCCAGGCAGGTGTGTCTGGGGAAAGACCTTTCCAGGCCAAGGAATAGCAAATGCAAAGGCCTGGATGCAGGAGCATCCTAGTGTGAGGATCAATAAGAAGGCCAAGGTAGTGGAGCCAAATGAACAAGGTACAGACCGGGGAGGGAGATGAGGTCAGGGAGGCCGTGGGGGCAGATCACGCAGAAACTTGGGGTCTTTGAGGACTTTCCTTCCTCTGAGACGAAAGCCACGAGGCGTTGAGCTGCGAAAGACATCTGACTTGTGTTTTTTAACGTCTTCATTAAGCTAGAATTCCCCTACAGTATAACCCGCCCACCTCAAGTCTGCAATTCCGTGGCTTTTCCTATATACACAGAGTCTGCAACCATCACAATCAATTTCAGGTACTTTTCATCACTTGAAAAAGAAATCCTGGCCCTAACTGGTTTGGCTCAATGGGTAGAGCGTCGGCCTGCGGACTCAAGGGTCCCAGGTTCGATTCCGGTCAAGGGCATGTTCCTTGGTTGCAGGCACATACCCAATAGGGAGTGTGCAGGAGGCAGCTGATCGATGTTTCTCTCTCACTCTTTCATTGATGTTTCTAACTCTCTATCCCTCTCCCTTCCTCTCTGTAAGAAATCAGTAAAATCTATTTTAAAAAAAAAAAAGAAAAAGAAACCCTGCACCTCTTAGCCATCACCCCCCTCCCCATTCCCCCATCTCCACCCTGCCCTAGGCAACCACTAATCTACTTTCTGTCTCTGTAGATTTGCCTATTTTGGACATTTCATATAAGTGGGTCACGTGACATGTGGTCCTTTGCGACTGGCTTCTTCCCTGTAGCATAACTGACATGTATTTCAGTTGGACCTGAGGCTCTGGTGGAGGACAGACTGAGGGGCAGGGTGGAAGCAGGAAGCCAGTGAGGAGGCACCTGCCATGGTTCAGGTGGGAGATGATGGTTGGACCAGGCGGGGGCCGGGGAGGCGGACAGAAGAGGTTGGGTGTTGGATTAGTTTGAAGGCAGAACCAATGGTGTTTGTATATGGATGGGGCCTCGGGAGAGAAAAAGAGAAAAAGTTTTTGGCCTGAGCAGTTGGAAGGATGGAGCTGCCATAGCCACGATTGGGGCGGGGGCGGGCGG